AGGAACCATTGCACCTCAGGATCCAATGTGCTGGGTGTTTCCTGGCAGTGGCAATACTTTGCCTTCCTGTTTCTTAAAAGTGTTAGGAAACATAAAGAAGAAAAAAAACCAAAATCCAAACACCACAAACCAAAGAAAAACCACCCTCCTCTTCATTTCCTTGCAAGAGCCAAGATTTTTTGTTTGAGTGTTTTCCTTTGAAGCCTGCATGAATTTCAACGGAATTTTCTTTGAGCATTCCTAGAAATAGGTTGACTCCACGACGCACAACATGCTGGGGGTGTTGCATCATTTTAGGAATCCAGCTGGCTTCCAAACGTAGCCATCAAAAGGCGAAACCAGGCAATGTTTTGTCCCAGAAAGGATCCCAGAACCAGTCTGTTTAGGAAAAACGACCAAGCTCATGCATTTGTCCCAAACTTGCTGTAAATATTACTGGTGCACCGATGGGTGCTGATGGCCAGATGTGGACTCTGATTCAAGCAAATGAAATCTAACCCGTTTTAGTTGTATGTGTGCAATGTCATGTCTTTATAGTTAATTTACAGCAAAACTAGTGTATTTTGACAACCCCGAGATCTGAAATTTCCCTGGAAGTAGCCTCTTGATACAAAGAATACACACAAACAATATAATGACTTTTCTTATGCAACTATAAACAAAAAAAAACCTCATACGTGCCAGGACATGCACTCATAGGAACAAGTCCTTCCCTTTTCTCAGGTCAGTAGGGACTCAAATTGGCAAAATCTGCAGATTCTGTAATAGTCATGTGTATTTTAACAGTTAGAAGTTGTTTTAACAGTCACATAGTCAAATTTTAAATACTTTACTTTAGAAATAACTTCTGTTCATGCTCATTGAATTAGAAAAAGTGACTATTTCCTTCCTCCTCATCCCCATGTTTCGGCCTCTACTAGTGTCAAATGGGCTGGAAGATTATTGTATGCGTTTTGCATCGTATGGATGGCTTTGGCTCAAACAGTGAAGTTGCACACACACATTACCAAGGCAGCCAGCACTGAATGTCCTGATATCGGAGGGGCTACTCAACCTTCCATGGAGCTTGAAAGCAGTTTTAGGATTAATCCCTATCCCCATGTGACTCCATAGCCCTAAGTGACCCAGAGCTTCCCATTCTTCTTCACCACCTGTTTCATCTGATCTAAAACTGTCAGAACTCCCATTTGAACACACTTTGAACTTTCACAGCCCTTTTCCTTACCTCCAGCCACATGGGCAGTCCCACACGTTAACATTTCTTGAAACGCAGAGATGGTCCTTTGGCAGATAGCCACCAAAACTTCCCCATGGTGGCTTTCTGCCATGGCCAGCCAGTGACATAGCCACAAAACCGCCAGGTATTTTACCTCTTTCCCACCTTGCAGTGCTAGAAACATACGTTAGATATGGTTGTCACCGGGGACCCCATAAAGAGGGCAGATGGATCCCAAATAAAGCAAGTTAGAAAAACAAATGACTTGATAACTCACCTGTCATCTCACCAGAGCTACATATCTTAAACTCTGTTGTTCACAAGAAGAACAAACAGATGTCAGACAGTCATAAATGCAGAGTAGGAGAGCAGGAACCCCAGGGTTCCAACCAGGGGGTTGCTTGGTAAAAAGCATCTGACAGCAGTTACTTCTTGGCCACAACCTGCATTCCAGAGGCTGGATCAGAGGGACACCTATAAAACCTACTCTTTAATCACGAATTCTGCAGCTTACAATCCCTTTCAAACTATGCATGTGGTTTTTAATATATACATATTTGATTAGCGTGAGGAACTAAGTGACATTTTAGCATATTATTTATCAGCCCTTTGTTAGGGCTACAGCCAACTCCTTCAATTTCCCAGATGCCTTTTTTCATGCCATATGCTTTTTGTTAGAAATGTTATCTTTGAAAACAGGCCCAAATCACGGTGGTTAGTTTGTGGGGTTTTTTATTAAAAAACATCGGTTTCCACTGGTAAAACTAAACATCCTCTCTTCCCATCCCTAAGATAAGCCTTTATAGTAAGCAAAGGAGCACGACACCTAGGCACTGGTCCTTGAGAGCACCAGCTAGCATCGGGGTTAACATCCACATGTTGGCCACAAACACCCTCCATGTATTCTCCAGTTCTCCCAGTCTCACAGTTTTGATTATTTGCACTGCAAGCCATTAGCAAAAGAAATTTACAGCCCATTAAATGACAGATAGTTCAATAACGTGTTACAACAGAATTACCTTTAAAGGACAAAGTAAGATTTCTGTGGGAATAAAGCAATAACAGTCTTCGATACCACAATTATTTGAGAGTTGCTAAAATATCTCTATAGTTAGGGGAAGAGAGGCAAAATGACTGTTTAGAATATGTTTCCTGGGAAATGAAATTTTTTAAAAAATTAAATCAAATCTATGCAGATGCCTAGCTTAATATGTCTGCAATGTGCAAGATAATATTCCTGTTAAGAAAGCGAAGAGAAAAAAAAAAATCTACATGTTACAACCACAGCCAAATAAGAAAGCAACTATTAAAGATTGTTATGCAAAACAGCTGACTGATTGCTACGAGGAATTTTGATTGTATAATGTATAATGCACCTGAGGGTGAAATTCCAGCCCACCTAAGTTACACCTAAACTGGGTGTGAAGTGGAAAAACAGTCACGTCTGTCCAAGATGGGTGATGGAGATAGGCTGACTGGCAGCAAGTTCCCTCCCCCTGAAGGTAGCCAAAATTCAGAGGTTGCTGCCTCACATGGCCCCAGCTCTGCACCCCAATTTCCTTTCAGCTCAGAAGCTGCCTTTCAGTCATTTGGGATCGTGTCCTGCCAGAAACAGGGCACCAACTGCCATCCTGTCCCTTCTCCCTGAAGAAGGTCCCCATCACCTTCCTCCTTGACGCTCTGCTACCACAGCAACAAGGGCAGCCTGGGAAGTGAGGGCCGTAGCACTGGTCCCCAAAAAACACAAACAGTCAGATGAAATGGAAAAAGAGTCACAACAATCCAGTTACTATATTATTTTTTTATTACGCACTTTTGCTGCAAATAAAAGGTTGGGGAGATAAAAGAAGAAATGGGCAGAGAGATAGAAATAGTCCCAGATTATTCTGAGTGAAAAAACATTTTTGGTCACATTTCTTCAAAGGAAAGCAAAAATCTGTAATCAAGGGACCGATATAAACCCACAAGGAGATAAGTCTCTGTAGCAAAAGCAGAAATCATCACTAAATGTACAGGATAGGAGGATTTCCATACCAGGGCACAAATTTAAAAGGGTGGGACAAGTGCTGAGCATCCTCTGTGCATTTACAGATGTCTTGCACTGATGTAAAAGATGCAGGAAGCAGACTCTGAATACTACAGATGCAAATTAAATCGTGATTTTGTTCAGTTCACTGCAAGAGTACATCACGCGGGTAGGATTATGACAGAAGACTAGAAGTTGCTCAGAAAGAAAAGGAAAAAAGTACATCTACATTTAAAGCCCAGAACGACTTTTAATTTTCATCATCAGAAAAGAAATGCATCTTGTCCAAGCAAGGCACAGGACAAACGGCCAAACGAGGGAACTCAGAGGGATGCAGCTTTTTTCCCCAAAATATCACAGCCTTTCAAAGCCTGAGGGTGTGATGGGCAGTGCAAAAAAGGAGTGGGGTTTGAAAAATACAGGTGAGCTGCCCAACCCCTTGGCATTAGTAAAGGTTTTACGGTATAGGGCACAGAAACAACCAGCAGCAAGGAGGGTACCTGATGTGCCTAGAATGAATTTAGGGAAAAGAAGCAATCAAAATATATCAGAAGATGGGCTCTAGACTCCAGTAAAGCCAACCTGAAGACTAACTGATCTTCGAGGAGTGAGCGCAGACCTCTCTGAAGCAGAGGGAGACAAAGGAAGGTGTCAGAAGAAATGGGAAAATCCATGAGTTCTTCATGAACCCATAACCGAGTAAGCAACTGTACGAAAAGCAGAAGTGAGATCAGAGCTTACTAATAGTTAAAGCAGCTCAGGCATATACAGGCAATGCACAGAATGATCAAGACAGTTCTATCAAATTAGCAGCTGATATACTTACTATTACTTTTTCTAATACTACAGGAAGGAGATTCTTTGCTTCTCCATGATGGTCTTGATCGGTCTTTCTTCATTTTTCCCCCAACAATTTATGTTACTTAGTCTGGCAAAGAGGACACTTTATAAACATCACAACTATACTTCACAAAACTTGGGGGAAAAAAAAAGGACAATGATTTCACAAGTCCAACAACAATGGAATAGAACAAAACAGAAAAATATATTAAGGTTGAAGCTGCAGTGAGAAAGATTTTCTTTCGGGGGAAAAAAACGGTCAATCATTTCACAAGTCCAACAACAATGGAACAGAACAAAACAGAAAGAAAAACATATTAGGTTGAAGCTGCAGTGAGAAAGATTTTCTTTAGACACTTCTAAAACTCTCCAGTGTTGGGAATACATGCAACTCCTTATGATGTTTAAGAAGGTTGTTGACTCTCAAGGATTTTTTTTTCTGTTTTAAAAAAAGCAATTTACACATCTGTCTGTGTTGGTGATGCCCTTTGAAGCAGACAGAAGCTACATAACCTCACGAGATACCTTACACAGAAGGCAGGATACAACGATATCAGGAAAACATTGGAACTCCTCCAAAAATGCCCTGTCTGCAAATAGCTTTCTATTTCTGTTTATCTACTGCTTTTCCTGAACATTACTCTTAACACAAAGATTTACTTCTGTTTGCAAAGCAGTGTAAACGCAATTTAACAAAGACAGTACAATAAATAGCAGTGTCTTAAAATAGAGGTGTTTTTTTTCCCAGTTATCATCAAGTAAGACAAAGGCTGATGAATACCTCAGAGATTCTTGCTTTCAGCTTCTGTTCCCAGTGCCCTTGGGACAGACTCGCTACTCAGCATCTTACTAATGAAAAAGTCATAGAACCAGAGAGGAAAGTAGCAGAAGATGCAGAGGAGCATGTAAGCCCCTTTGCCAGGGGTGTACAAGCCGTGCGGTCTCTCGGCCAGCAAAGCGTGCAGGATAGCGGTAAGCACAGGGGAGAGGTCAGCGTCACAGGACATGGGCATGCGCTGGAAGTAGCTCTTCAACCCCAGGAGGTAGTCCTCTCCGTAGTCTTGCCTCGTGTCTGCTGGGAGGTTCTCCATCAGCTCCTTTTCTTGCTTAACCCACAGGTCAAATGTGCCTTGTATACCTGCAGCAGCAACATCACATGAGAACAAATGGGTTTGGGGCTTAATTAAAAAACTTCACCTGTAATTAATAGTCAATAAGGTGTTCTACCACTACCACCCTGACTCACAGTTGCTCTAAACTGGGTCAGAGAACAGACAAAGCAGCTGGTTAGCTGAGAGTGCCTGGAAAGAATGAAGCACGGACTAAACAAAAAGCATGGGGTTCATGCACCATTTGGTTGCCAGCTCTCCCTAAAAATGTTCTCTCACAGCCAAATAAGCACTTTTTTTCTGCCATTCTGTCCTTATTCATTTTGCATGTGTTTCTAATCAATACTTACTAACAGATGTGGCTGTCTCCAGAAAAACAGGCAAACTAAGATGAACAGGATTCACTTGGGTTGGCCAAGTGCTAAGCTCGTCTTTCACAAGCGACAACAGTATTTCAATAACTAGTTTCATGAAGGGTAAGGCTTATAACAGGTCAGATTATTTTTTTTAATCTATTCCCTCCCCTTCTGCATCATGTAGGAATAAGTAGTTTTCCAATGCATTTATTGCCTAACTATCATGAATCAAGCATTGCAAATAAAGAAAAATCTTTAAATAAATATTTAGATCTCAAATGCCAGGATTTGTTTTAACACTTGAAGTTCTGATCCAGAAGTGTGACAACAGCCAAGCAGGGCCCTGAAGGTAAAACCTCAGGCAGGTACTGCTGACCACACAGGTGCTGTCAGAGCCCGGTGCTCCCCAGGAAGGGAGACATTTGAGGGAGCAGGGCTTTATGAAGAAGACCATTTTGTATTTCATCGTCACAAAAATTGTCTTCAGGAAGTCACAAGGGCTTGCTGAGTTGGCAGCAGTGGGATTTGATGTCGTCCTCAGGTAGCTGCCAGGCACGTCCACAGAGCAGGGACCTGCGTGACACCCACCTGGCTCCCAGGTGCAGCAGGAGAGGAGCCCGTAACACCGATGGGCTCCACAGACACCGCTCAGAGCAGAGGAAGGCAGAGAAGGATTTGGAAGAGAAAGCAAAAGGAGCACAGTGGAGAGGAAAGATCAGAGACTATATAAAGTAATACTGACAGCAAGCGAGCGGGATGACAGGTATTGCTGCAGACACTTCGATGGAGGACTGAGCAGCTCAACAAAGAGAGCTTTAATATTGAGAAAGGTAGGACTGACAGCGAGTCCTGAAGTTCTCATGCAGGACGATGAAGCTGTAACACTCAAATCAAACACACAGTGTTTCTCCATTTGTTAACTTCAACAGAGCTAGAGCAAAGGGAAGGCACCAATTGCTTGAAGCCTGCCCTGTCTCAAAGCCAAAAGGAGAGCTCTGCCTGGGAGCAAGGCTACACTCGTGAGGCAGAGGCAGGCAGTGTGCAGAAATGAAGGGAACATCTCTCACAAAAAATGCAGATCTTAATTTCCATAACCAACGCAAAGAATGGGAAGAAAGTCTGACTGCTGGGAATCACTCAGGGCTCTGCCTGAGGATGAACTACGGGGAAAGAGGCAAGGCAGAAAGAACTACCCGAAATGTCAAATACCAACCTGTTCGGAAGCCTGACGGATGAATTGCAGCAACTTTAATTCCCCATTTGGAAAGCTCTTGCCTCATTACTCCAGAAAACATGGACAGAGCTGCTTTCGATGCACCATACGCAGCAAGCCTTGGTAGTGGAATGCCTCCTGCAGGAGCAATATAAACATGATAAAGCTCGACGGCGGCTCTTTCCAGCCTTTATTTTTGTGATTTAGAAGGAAGATTATAGCACAACCAAAATTATGTGGCTCTCAGTGAGGTTAAAGACAAGTCAGTGAGGGAATAATTTCTTTCTAGAGGTTAAAAAAGAGTGAAAGTTGTAAATTAGCCGTTGTTTATAGCACTTATGCTCAGTAACACCTGATAAGACATCTTGTGTAGCAGAAAAAAATAAACTGTATTACATTTAAGGATAAAAACTGCTGAAGATGATGATAGTTCATTTCAAAACTACAGATAATATTTTAGTTCATATAAATAGTGAAGCAATAGTTTCATGCTGCTGTTCTTGTTGTCACTTGTAACACAAATTTCAAGCTCTCCCTATAAACCACAGTTACAACAGGGTGAGTAATCTCAATTCCAGCTTTATAAAAGCCAACTTATCTTCCAGTTCTTTCCAGACAGCTTCAGAAAGACCAGAGACAACAAGGAAGGAAAGGGGAAAACATCTGTGAACAAACCAAAGCTAGAATCATACCCTCCAGGGCAGGACTCCCCACAATCCACCAGAGTAGCAAATCCCCTACTTATAGTCATGTCCCATCATCTTCTATCCCAGCAGCGTTTGTTCAGATGGAAAGAGAGAAAACAGCCAGTATTTTAGGTGAATTTAAGATAAATTCACATGTAAAGATTCTGTTCCAAATACAGAGATTTCCTCCGTTCCAAAAACTGGCAGACTGTCACTTCTTCAGCTCTGGAAAAATCCAGAGACACTTGGATTTCAACATCCTCCCTCTTCTTCAGCCCCCCACTTTCTCCACAAGGTTGGCACAGGTTATCACCATGCAGGTTATCACAGCCAGCACAGAGCAGGGAATAGAAGGGGCAATCCTCCTCCTTGATGCACATCACTCCTTCTCCTGCCTGCACGTGCAGGTGGGCACAGCCTCTGGTATGGCCCCCATTTCAAACACGATACATTTATCTCAATATATCTGAAACTTTTAAAATGTTTCCATACAGGGGAATTTTCAGTTAAGCCACTGGTGCTGTTTATTGGGTTTTGTACTGCAATGACCAAGGTATTACAGGAGCTTCTTACACAAAATCACTCCTTTGAAGAGGTCAGGCCAATTATATGTTAATTATTCTTCTGTATGTATCTGAATAAGTTTGAGTTTCAATTGGTTTGAGCCAATTGGATCACATACTTTCTCCCTCTGAGGTCAGGCTAACCTCGAGACCAGCTAAATTAGCCCTACACAGACAGGAATAGATTAGCACAACAAGACCTCACTAACTTTTCTGCTAATGTTTTACCAAAGGACCCTCAGACCCCGTGTTAAGAGGAAGCTATTTACCCAAATCGTCCTGCGCGCAAGAACATCTGTGCAAACCGCTACAGTTTAAGCAGGATCATTACCAGCTTCTCTAAGGACAAATTACTCCGCATAGGGAAGCTCTCCATTTAGCCCTGAAAGGCAGCTCGGGGATTCACGCCAAGAATTAAGACATCTGCCCCAAAAAACCCAAAGTGCAAGCTTGACTTGGGTGCTCAGAGAAAACAGAGGCCTGTCCTCTGTCTCTGTGCTTCCAAGGGCTGGTGGGCAGAGCAGCACCAAAAAGGTCTTTCTGGTGATTCAGTCTTGATACAAACATACTCAGAATTAAAAAAACAAACAAAAACAAAACAAAACAAAACAAACCACCAAAACCATAAGCCAGCAAAATCAAAGCTAGGCTGAGGCGACATCCTCAACATAAGCCATGAACACATGGTAATGCTGGCAACAAGCCACCTCAGCAACACAGCAGGATTCAAGTGGACATCAACTGTGTGGAACTAAGGGTCCAAGAAGACAAGGCAAGTGAAAATTTGGGAAGCAGATTATATGGTAAATTCTCAGAGACCTTACATAAAAATACTTTCCATCATCATGACCTTCTACTTTCAGTAGGTCTCATTTTCAAAGGAACATTCTTGCTCCTCATCTATTGGCTACCAGATACTGTGCTACTTTTGATCCTACATTTTAGCATCTCAGCTGTCCTCCTACAAGAGGAGTTATGTTATGAAGGTGTATATATATAGCAAGCAGAGGATCCAATTTATGGAACAAAAGAAAAAGAAAAAAGAGTGCCTTCTGCTCTCAATGAATGTTTCTCTTCTGCAGATGTTTTATCATTGTACTCTCACTCTAACCATGGCACCTGGGCCTTACAAGTGTGCAGAAGTGGAGCTGCCCAACTGAAATATCTAACATTTATTATAGGCTGTTACAAGTGGCAAATGTCATGAACATTCCCAACATACATTTATGCTTCAATTTTAACCCAAAGCATTAAAAAAGGCCAAAATTTTACCTGAAACCCAGCCAAATGGAAGAAAAATCTGTCTCTGCATAAGACAGACAGCTTTGGACCATTTCCAGCATGTGGTTCAATGACACACAAACTGAAGTGGTCACAGAGTTCTGCTGGAACATGTTATAGAAATGTCTGTGATCTATCACCCAACTTTCCAGAAGCTCACAAAGCTATCCCTCAGCATCTATAACAGCATATTTTTAGCCATATTAAACTCTTCTGCTTTAAGGGCTTGTTTCTGGGAATAGTCTTCCAAACAAAAAAACTTGCACTTATTACCTAGGCACCAATTCCCTAAGTATATTGACAATCAAGACCAACCAACACCTTCCTCCGCATTTTTGTGAAGGAAGCTAGTTGTTTTTTCTGCTGTACCTGAAATTTGTTTAGTTCTGCTCACCTGCCAGGCTGGACATGTTAACTAGTCTCCCCTGGGATTTCCGAAGCAATGGTAAGAAGATCTTGGACACCTCTACAGCCCCGAAGAAATTCACCTCCATGCACTGCCTGTACATGCTCATGGGGAGCAGCTCGCCATCAGCGGGGAAGCCCAGGATGCCCGCGTTGTTCACGACTCCCCAGAGTCCTGGAAAGAGGAGAAAGCACAGGGCTGCTATACAGCAGGAAACCACCTCCATAAGGATTAAGCTGATGATCTGGATGGTGCCTCCAGAGATGATCTGCAGCTACAGATACACAGTATTCACTTCATGAACAGTCATCACTATTTTTCATACATCCCAGGAAGCAGGAGTCATCAATATAAATAACCTGACTGCCCAGAGACTGTCGTGTGGAAGTGACCCACACACATAAGCCATGACGCAGCCAACAGTTAACAGATTCACCTTGCAAGCAGCTCCATTACTACTCCCATCAGGATGGAAAAAAAAGCTGTACCTGTATTTTGCACCTTCTCTGAGACTTCTAGATAGGCTTCCTGGATTTGGGTGACATTGGTTATATCCAGCTGCAGGACAGAGAGTCTCTGAGAACACGTCCGTCTCAATTCCTCAGCTCCAGGTCCGTCCTTGTTCAAAACCCCAGCAAATACAACAAAGCCCAAGTTATCCAGGTATTTAGCCAGTGCATGTCCAATCCCAGTGTCGCTTCCTGAAAGCATCAAAAAAGACACTTGAAAAGTGTCATTAAAAGAAGGACATACACACACACGCTGGAAATACATGCAAATATAGTAAAAAAGATGATGAAATAAAGTCACTGAAGTACATATGACAAAGAAGAAAGGTTCAGATCTGAAGGTCTGAGGAGCTGGACTTTGCATGTTCCACAAAGATTGACAGACCATGTCCCATTGGCTCAGAGCTGATGGCATCAGTTCATACTCTGCCACTGACAGATTCTAAGACTTACTTCATCCACACAAAGGAAATAAAACCCTAGATTAGGTTTATATAAGTATTCAGACTGTAACCTGATCACAAAATTATGTAGGAAAAAAAAAACCAAACATGACTAAAAACCCCATAAATATTTTCATTTGGAATCTCAGACCGACAAAGCAATTACAGAGCACTGGAATTCAAATTTTTGGGTTCTGTCCCTTAAGATAAAGTAGCATTATTTTATTCAAATATCTACCACCCAGATCACTCTGATAAACACTCTTTTGTCACAGGCTTTATCCAAGGCAAAGCTAAGCAACTGTTTCTTTGCCTGCAAATGAGTTCAATGCTTTCAAATCCTAAGACAGCTTCAGAATGGCACTTTCAAGGCTAAGCCAAATAGCACCAGTATTTAATTCATGCAAACTTGCATCAGAATTTCTCTTATTCTATCCTCCTCCAAACTTATCCCCAAACTTTGTCCATATAAAGCAATGAAATGCTAAATGCAGGAAGCACTATTAGAGCAAACATACAACAATGATCTTTGCCATCACAATTATGCAATTTCTCCCACCAGGTAAGAATGATGAATATTTAACAAATAATTCAACTGATTTGCACGTCTCTCCTTTGACATAGTATTTTGCCGCTGATTATCTTAAGATACTTTTAAAGTGTTTTCTCTCCCTGCATCTTTTTTAATTCCGGTTTCCATTCTTCCTCTCTACAGAGAAACTTTTTAACAAGGGAGGAAACATCTCAGTCATCTGCCCACCAAGACTCCCAATGAAGTGACACAGGGCTCTGCTGGAGGCAGAAGCAGAGTTTACAGGGACTGTGCTGCAGGAGTTTTGCAAAGGACAGTATCAGGACGAAAAGGAGGAGTTTAGGAACTTAAGAAATTAATGCAGTTTTTACATCGTAAAGCAGAGATACATCAGCTCGTCCCATGATACTGCACCACACCCTCCACTAACTGCAGCAAAGAACTCTCCTGGATGCTGGTGTGCAGAGACATCCATGGAGCTATCCCAGGGCTTGGCTATCGCCTGCAATAGCCATTTATTACCTAAATGCTCAGCTTCCAGACCTACCTGTACAGCTGGAAACCCGAATGCAGGACAAAGGGCTGGGCCCCCTGCCAGTTTTATACTATTTCTTCATTTGTGAAAGAGCTGCAATACTCCCTACTTAACCCTACCAGAAACTTGGGAGAGTTAATCTGTGATTTCAGCACACCGAGGTGGCTATTACCATAGTTATTCACAGGCCTGCACCTGCACTCAAAAATCCAGAGTCAACAGAATTTGACAGCCAAAGACAGCCATCTTAACCATGCCAGATCTTCATTTCTGGATTCTGTCTTTTACCAGGAGCTTTAGTCCTGAAAGGTGAAAAAAATTTATTCCAGGTTACTTGAAAGAAACGTGTACTAAAGGCCTGGATCAATCAGTGCAAGATGTTACAGAATTACTCATGCTCTACTTAATTCTTTTTTTAAAGAAGCAGCAGCAGCTTTTCATCATTTTTGAAGTCTACAGTTTCTTGAAGATATACCAGAGCACCACATATATCACATTTAAGTTCTTGCAGCCCTGACCCAAAAATAGAAGAGCAGAACAAACCTGCATTCTTGGAATTCCCTAAAGAAACATGAACAGGCCTGCAAATATCCCAAAGGCATGACAGTTTTCTGGGTTTGGGGGTAGAGTGTCTTCCCTTTTAGTGAAAAACCCTACTTCACATCTTCCCCTTTCATCCTATGTCTGTATCATTACTGAGTATTTATCATCCACTCACACTGATTATGAGAAACATCAAGTCACACATCAAGAATGAAAAGACTAAGTTAATTGGAGAAATCCATCCCACTGTACACAGAATAACCAAGACAAGAATTTTACACTTCCTACTAATTTGGATCTTCATGGTAATTGAATTTTTAGGGAAGTTGACTATTCAATCTATCAAACTACAGCAAAGTGTTACCATGCCCAGGGACTTCTATCTAAGGATACTGAAGCACTCACTCCCACTAAGAGGATCCATAGAAATGTTTCACCAACGACTTTAAGCATTTTGACAACTGGGCATAGGTTTCCCCTACTGTAGTACTCCAGTGAACGGCCAGCTTAAATAAATAATACACAGCAGCATCTGTACAAGGGACATGCAAAGAGGCCCAGTATAAAATTTGTCAAAACCCAGGGAGAGAAGCAGAGAGGAGCAGCCGTCTCACAAGTGGTATGTAGCACAGCAGCATTCCCCAACCCTGCAGGGCTGAAATGGGGGGAGAGAAAAAAAAGTTGTTAAAAAAAAAAAAAGAAAAAATATCACTATTTCACATAAAGTCCCTGCCTCAGGTCTTGTCTAAATTGGAGAAAATTACCGTAAAATTGATTAAAGGCACCTTGCATCTGCACATACACGTAGAGACACATCCTACAGTTTGTATGGCAAAGGGTACTAGAGTCAGAGCAATTTAACAAGAAAAAAAACGTGTTGACTAAAACTTTTGTTTCAGTTGGAGGGCTTGATTAATTGCATACCAGTCTGGATTCAAATAAAGACCAAGAAGAGCCTCCCCAGATGCATCAGCTATCAAACACATCCAAACTTGCATTTCTTCAGGACAGTGGCAGCACAGGTACAGAGAAACAACATTCATTTACTGGAATATACCCAAATGTTCTTCACTCCCCTATATGTAATTCAAATTCTCTAGAGCTGGTACTCTCTGAAAGATTGCCTTTTTTCCCCTGAAGAACTGCAGTCTTACAAAAAGCAAGGAGATGTTCAAGTGTGAGCACAACCCCTGTGTCTGCAAGGGTGGGAGAGGGGTGCTCTCCCTATTCCCCCCTGCCCGAGGTCCAGCCCCATCCGACACACCTGCAGGGAAAAACTCAGCTGGCAGATAAATGGTGAGGGGGGAAACTTGCTGCTCATCTTGCCTTCTCTTACACTTTGTATTTGATCCCCATATTAATGCTTGCTTGGCAAATCTAAATTATTTCCAGGTGTCCCTATAAAACAAAATGAAATTCTGCAAGAAACAGCTATATAAACCAAAGCAGCTTAATTCAGCTTTCCAGGGGGGAAAAATAGGAAATAAAACCAAAAAAAGAGCAAGTTAACAGTGCAAGAAGCAGTTGGCAGGCACTCTGGTTTAAAGGTTTGATTAACACAAATAAACAACAGCCAAAGTTTTAGAAGAAACAGGAGAAAAAGCCATAAAACTACAAAAATGCCATCCTTGCAAACTGAAAGTGGGGTTTGAGTAGATCAGGGTGTTAACAGAGACTCTATTTATTAGCTCTGAAGTTCCACTGCTAGTGAAGGAAATTACTCACTCCTCAATGATTTCATACATCGTTTCAAAGAGATGGCACCAAACCAGTGTCTTGATAGATATGTACGATACACATAGTGTGCAGTGCGCTGTGTAAACACTGACACCAAAAGACAACTGTACATCGGCAACCAACACAATAAATTCAAGTAAACAAAAGTTATGTATGAACGTAATGTTCTGAGATCTTCCAGAAATTAACATGTCTCCTAAAAAATTAGTCCATCATAAGTATTCTTATGCTTTCTGCACCAGTTAATTTCACAAGTATGTCTAAAAAGCTACTTGTAAAGATTCAATGAGACACTAAAAACTAATAGCATCTATTAAGATGCTTTTCTATTTGATTTCAGAACACTTACTTACCTTGAAAAAACATCTCTGGCAAAGCAAATAAAATGAGGGGGGAAAGAAAAGAAAAAGAAAAAGAAACCTTACAAGCATGCATTTCATAGATACCTAACCCAGGGACACAAAGTTTTCCATCCCACTTGTGAGAAAAGGCAGGTTTTGCTTCCCAGAGCGTGTGTGGAGCACCTTACCTGTGATAAGCACAGCTTTGTCACCCACGGGCAGCAGTGCCCTGCTGCCCAGGTACATGGAGAAGATGAGGCACGCGGCACAAAACACCACCAGTCCCCTACCAGCACCCAGCGTGGCCATGCACAGCAGCCCCAGCAAGGCAGGCAGGACCCTCCAAACCAGCACATTTGCTTTTTCCACAGGGCTCCTCTTGGCCACATAGAGCACAGTCACCCCAAAAAGCGCGGTGACCCCTGCGCAGAGCCATCCAAGGGGGCTGCTGGTGAGAGCATCCATCGGCAGGGGCGAGAAGCAGGCACTCACACCCCACCACCGGCTGAGTAAAAGCAGGTATTGCTAAATGCACCGCATGTTATATAGGAGCAGGGGGTGGGGCAGAGAAAGGGGATTCTGTTTAAAAGGTTTGACATAATCTCACTTACCCTTGGCATGAGCAAGAAGCAGAAGCCTTCCTTTCCTTACCTTTTATTCCTTCTGCCTGACAGCTCCACCTTCTGAACAATATGCTAGCTGGATAATGATTGACAGCACTGGGAATGGACATGATGTAGCAAGCACTGGCTTCAGGAAAAAATTAACTGCTATATGTTTAAAGTACATTTTCCAAGGCAGTGAAAAAAGAAGAGTTTATTTTATGGGAAATAGTTGGAATTTCCTGCCTATAAACTTAGGGTCTAGTTTCAGTGGAACTGATTTTTGATGGGCTATGTCAAAAAATGAGATAGGACAGGGTTATTTACTCTCTGTAGTGCAAATTGTGTCCTTAGTATTGAGTTTTATCACAGAGGGGCAACCCTCCTCTTTAAAAAAAAAAAAGCCACAAACAACCTTCCCTGCTTTAGTGCGCACCTTTGACTATTTACCCACTCCACACTCAGTGAATATCTACAGCTAATTGACATTCAAGGGGGTCTGGGAGGCTGGGAAGGGGTGATTGCTGGTTTGCCATTAAGGGCACACTTCATTAAGTGAGCATATGTAACACACCTGAGCCTGAGTCTTCAGCTGACCTCCAGTGAGAGCACTCAACTCAGTTTTGATAGAAATTGCTGGTTCACTAGCCAGAGCAAGTTGGGGGAAAAAAATGTAATCAGTTAAATACATTTGAGAGATTTAACACCTACTGTGGTGTACTCTGAAAGTTATTTAAACAATAAGAAAAAATCAAAATTCATCAATCTAAAAGGATTTAAATCAAATTTAGGCATATTTAACCCTGTTTAAAATTTCCCACTAATTGGTTTGGGAGACTAGCCTATGTTATCACACGACCAGCTCACACGTAGCTGGTTTCCCAAAAGAAAATGTAGTGCTGACCTATTTTATTTTAGATGGATACTGAAAGATCGAAGTGCAGGGTACAAACCTAACGTGAGACACAAGTTCGTTTCCATTCCATAATTCCTTTGGGCTTTTATAGGGTGACTAATCTGTTAAATATACATTTTTACAGCCAGTGAAAATATTTACATACCTCTATAGGTAGTTTACATTAGAGATGAGGTCACTTTCTTAAAGGAACATTACCCTTGAGGTCTGCTTGTCATTCATGACTGTTGTGAACACTGATTCATCCATCCTCCCACAAGTCCACTAAAAAGTAAATTATTTTCACTTCTCTTTGCCACTTGCTGCTTCTGCTTTTAATAGCACACTGGTCTCGAGGTCAGTTATACCTTGCCCTCAGTTAAGGCATATTCTTAAATATTTCCTTTAAGAATTTTGCATTCTCTCCCTAATTGGTCTTTATTGCATGATTTAGATGATGACAAATGTGCTGGTATTTAAAGCATCTGCTCTTACACCTGAGGATAGCTGGAGTTTTTGCATAGTTGGAAGGAGGGGCAGAAGTGACCACCTCCAGCCTGATGTCTACCCTGGCACACCTCAACCTGTGGGGAGGGGACAGGCGAGGGGCCAAGACACGGTGGCCACCATGGCTGGTCCCTGCAGAGCTATCTTCATGTGAGCCTTCCCCTCTGCTCCATGTGTCCCTGCCACATCCCACACTGAAATGCACATAAGAACATCTCCTCCCTCACACACTGAATCGGAGGGTGGGGGGATCTATGGGCTTGCTGGGGATGCCATACATGTGCATACGCACACCTGCTGCTGTCCCCTGACCCGTCACCCACCTGCACCCACAACGCTGCAGAATAACTGTGGGAAGGGCTGGTCGGGACTGATCTCTGCCTGAATTAACACTGAATTTGTACTGTTAATATAAAATACAACCATTGAAGGCTTCTTATAATGAGAAGCTAATCATGTGTTCACCTTGGTGTGTAAACAAAACTATGTCTAAGGGCATAGATCATACACACCATGAGATGGGTTGCTATCAGAAAGGAGGAGGTGGACTAAAACTGGCTGAGAAACGTTAACTTGGAGCACCCACCTCATGAACTCTCTGTGCTTTCTCCAACATCAGCAAAGATAGATTGCTGCTTGATGATTTTTTCAGCACAATTTTGCAATGAGATAAATTCTATCATCTCGTGCCCACTATTCATCTTGAGACAGCACCTAATTTCCTCTCCACCATTTTGGTATGTCTCCAGTTCTCACAGCTGTACATTAACACAAGATTGCAATTGAGTTTGCATTATTTCCTGTTTCTCTACGACATGCCTGCTCACACTATGAATATACACCCTTATCTCACCTTCTTCAAAGCTTTTCTGGAAAAGATGTGGCTCCTCCAAATTATCAGGATGTTGCATCACCATGACATCTGTGTTACAAGGAGGTAATTAACTTTGAGCTAAGCTTGACCTACCTTTGCCAGGACGTATGTCATTCTTCCCAGCTTTTCAGAGCCATTGCACCGTAACTCGGTGCCCCCCACCCCTATGCCCTGGCAATCTACATATTCTATACTGAAGCCTGAACGCTGCTTTCATCGTTAGCACAAGCTAGTGTCAAACAGCAGCAGAGAAACTATTCTGACCCCCCTCCTGGCTGAACTGTTCTGTTCTGTTGTGCAATTACTTACCCTCGCTGAGCACTTTGATCTTTCTAACTGAGACTTTGCAAGTCTCAAGTGTGCTCCACCACACAAGGCTCTTCATGCTAAGTGATAGCTTTGGAATGTCAGTTGATGCAACGGCAAGAGAAGATACATGGAGAACAATCCTTCCATAGCAACATGCATCATGAACAGCCAGTCTCTACAGTACCTCTTGAGTCCAAACCCAGGTTGGTTTCCTCCAAATTCAGCAGTCACAGCATCTTCCACCATGTGTAATATCACTACAGAAGACTTTCCTCAAGACAAAGCAAGGACTCCTCTCCAATGTGGGGGATCTTTATCATGGGCATCCACTTACGGGCTCCACATTCCCATTCTTCAGGCACAATCAGTTCTTCCCAGATATTAATTTACTTCACTCCCATTTCTTTAAGATTTTTCTCCTGTTGTCCTTTGCTGGCTCTCTATTTTTCAGCATGATGGCTGTAGCCTGTGCTTTCCACTTCTGTTCCTAACACAAAAAAATGGCAAAATGTTCAGGTTCCCCTGATCCTTTGAAATGTGGTGAAGCTGAGCCTGTTCATGACTCCTTTGAAATGCACAACTAGCTCTTTTTCTGCTCTCCCTTGGTAATGAGAACTCTCCTGTCTTTGCTTTTCATGGCTCCATTTCTGGTGCAGAAGTTTTCCTGCTGTTTATTTTTTTAAAGCCTCTGTGACTTTCCAGCATAGTAGAAACCTCCAGTTCAACCACAAGGCCTTCAGCATGTCTCTGTTACCTTTCCCTGCATCATTTTTCACTTCTTTGGCCACTTTTCTCATGTGCTTTCTTTGCACTTTCCAGTAATTTACTAGACAACATTTTTCTTTTCAGCACTTTTCTTTTGTCCAGAAGTGCAATGTGCCAAATCCAATAGTTGCTGTCTGTTGATGTTCTTCCGTCCCAGCTTCAACATGAATTACATTGTCTAGAAGCATGAACCATTTTTTGTACATGTCCAATCTTTATCTCAGCTTCCTCTGCCTCTGCCAGTCACAGATTTATTTTTCAGCTCAGGCTAGAATTTCTCACAGAACTCTTTAGTTTTACACTTTGTTCAATTCTGTTTGCTGATTCAGGCTTTTTCAGCTGTCACTCCTGAGAGCCTCTGCTCCGTGTGCTTTGTGTGCTTTCGTGGCTTGGGTAGGGGATCGGCATATCAAGTTTTGTAGGGAAGTTCTTGGCTACTTTGCTTTTCCTGGAAAACAATTTCAGCAGAAAATAGGTTGGAATCTGTTTCACCAAGTGAGTCATTAACTAAGATAGAAAAATTATTCTCATGAGTAAGTACATATCCGAACAGAAAACAACACATGAAAAACACATTAAATCATTCACTTTGATTGATCACGGTCTCTGAGAGTACCTAAACATCTTCATACGTTTGGACTTCATTGGACTTACTGGCTACACAAGCCCTTGTCAGGTTGTACGTCCTAGATGAAGAAGCTATCGAACGTGGATATCCAAAACTCGTTTGGGCAAACCCACTTTGCTCTTACAAATACTACTGAACTTCTGTACAAACGTTGAGATAATTTTCTGCCTTCAGCCAGTTATCTGTTTAAGCACTCAGCTTGAACCACATGAATTGTCCCAGTAAAGACAACAAAACCATTAGTCTGCCTAAAGCTAGGAATGCAGCCAAGTACCTTTATGAATTTAGATCTCTGAACTCACAGGCATGTACAGAGTAAGGGCAAAAAAAGGTTACATGAAACTGAAGATAAGGCTGTGTAACCTCTCCTTTGTCTTCAAATTATTTCTTAGGGAAAATAATCTCAGGGAAAATAATCTCAGGGAAAATAATCTTAGGGAAAATAATTCTTGTCAAATAAAGTGTGTATCCATTAATGAAAAGTAAGAAATATATTTTACCTCTAAGTTACCAGGGACTTGTTTTTTAGAAGTAGAGTAATTGTAACGATTGTAAATTAGGAGATAGACAGTAATTCCTGAAGATCACTTGGCAGTGAAGAAACAGCTGTAGCTCACCATTTCTCATATTTGATTCTAACAAAAGCTAATAATAACAGTAACACTTCCTCAGCTAAATCTCCGGTTACTTTCTCAAGTGTGAGAACCTCAGAATGAGGAACTTCTGTACTGATGGCCAAACTGGACCTCTAAATCCTTTCGGCAGGTACCCACGTAATGAACACCTTAGCATTATACAACCTTCAAAAAAAATAATTGCAGCCTGCATTTCCCATGTGAATCCACTGCTGCAGCAGCTCCATCTCTGTTTCGAAGAAGTAGGGAT